TTAAAAAAAAGTTGAACAAAAATGGAAATGAAATTATTTCTTCTTGACTTTCTACATAGAAGTAATTTTTAACATTGCATGTGGTAAGAATAAGTAACTCTACTATCTTATAAAATGTTTACTTTTGTTTATCAAAAAACAATTTTAAAATAAGAATTGTATGCTAAAAATACAATTCTTCTATATATTCGTAAACATCTTTAAAATTTTCTACAAACTAATTAAAATAAAATTGTGAAATTTCTCGTAATTTACAATTACGTAACTACGGACTTCAAACGTACATTATTAATAGAGTGTTGATGATAAGTTGTCTTATTTGTATATATTACGAAGCATTATAAAAAGTTATACATTTCTGAATTAAATAATATTAAAGATATATAAAATATTAAAATGTAGTACTAAATTTAGGATTTCGTGTATATAATTTATAACCTTTTTTTAAACAAGTAATCAAAATGAGATATATATGTATATATCGATATCATATATTCCAACTGCTTATAACCACAAATTTACAGCAAACTTTAAAATTATTATTTTACACTTTTGTGTGTGTTAAATTATCACTTTTTGAAACAGTTAGAATTGAAACATAGTAGAATTAATTATATACTCCATAAAATATCTGTTTGCGTTTTATATGATAAATTGACATGAAAAATTGATAAAGCAATACGAGTGAAATAAAAGCAAAATAGGCGCAAATTATACATTTTATTTTCACGAATTTGAAAATATTATTTTTCTTAATTGTATCACAATAAAATCCCAGCATAATTTCGTATTCGTGTATAAACACATTGGATACGTTTAGGAAACGTATATAAAATGAACATGTGCTACCTGGGATGCATGAAAGTTGTCAACTCCAGAATATTAGATCATTTTATATGACCGCATAAGAAAATACAAATACATAAAATCAAATAAAAATGTTAATCGTGATAATTAACCATATAATTAATTATGGTAATTAATCATGGTAATTAGTTGACGAATATTTTAAATATCGACATTACGACATTGAGTATAACCGACAGAGTTAAAGCGAGAAATATATTATTTTATTCCAATGATATTAAGAAAACAATATTGGTTAGGTAATATTGGTAATATCACTATTTTAGGCCGTTACAATATAAAAATGTAACAAACTGATCTATTTAGAATCAAAAGCATACAAAATGTGCCTATAAAAGTAGAATAATTTATTGTAATTATTTTTTAAGTTAACTTTTATATTTCTTATGAAACTGAACATGTGAAAATTGATTTAACTTTTTAATATAATAATAATTATAAAATATTGAATAAAATTTTGAAACAGTTTACAGCTTAATTCAAAAACTGGATATTTAGCAACTCTCTATGTAAATACAGTTTATGTACTTAGATATTATAATGAATGTTAATCTATTTTTTTTATGTGACGCTATAGAAACTATGTTGGACGTTAAAGTGGAATCACAATTAGCACACCAATTACTTAAACAACTGACGAGGTATAAATGTATTTAATTTAAATTCTAATAATTAATATCAATTTTATATCGTAGAAATAAATCTTTTTACAACAGATATAAATATATATATATATAT